GCTGCTGCCGCCGGCGCCGCCGCCGCCGCTGCTGCTGCACCCGCAGGCGAATGTTTTTGTTTTGACAGCAGACCATATAGAGAAGTGGGGCTCGTACGGAATAGGCTGTCTAGCTACGACATAGCTAGACTTTCAATGCGCTCTGCAAATACAGTGATTTAAAACATTGTTACCACAGCTAATACTAAAGTACAACTACTAATCAATAATACTATAAAAATAATAAAATTACTATCTTCAAACCTCTGAAATTTATAAACATGATTATTATTTTTTTGTTTTAAATCATGTATTGGTAGACACCGAGCGAAGTGGCTCGGGATGTAGCGCGTTAACGTTGCTTTCTGGGGGGCCCGGGTTCAATCCCCCTGCCGGTCTTCCTGGCCGGGGTTTTCATAGTTTCCGTCGTTCATCAAGGCGAATGTTGGGATGGTTCTTCAGAAAGGTCACAAGCGCGAAACCTGCTAGCTGAATTCGTCAACTACGTAAAGTCTCCAAGGCTAAGCGAATTCGACAGTGCCGATGTCAATTGCCCTATACTGGACATATAATTGCTTATTACAAAATTGGCAGATACTAAACCAAACTTAAAGTATCAATTCCTTAATTTCAGCAATATCGAGGCGTTAACACTCGGCTCTGTTGTATTACTACAAAATATGGTTACCAATCAAGTATTGCAAGGGGCGAACGGCCAATAGTCAGAACGCGCATATATTGAGAAGTTCCATATAACAAGAACTGCTGCAAGTGGTTCATTCCATTGTAACACGTATGGCCGGGTCTATAAAGGGTGGAAAATTGTCTGTTCAGGTTGCATGCATGGAATCAGCTCCTGTAATGCCGGTGTTTACACGTAAAATGCAACAGGTGCAAGATCAACAGGTAAAACGTATGCCTGTGTGAAGTACAAGCTAATATAAATGATTCTGCACGAGGTATTATTGGTTCTGTTGAATACAGTATCGTCATCATTTGAAAATCAATCAAAATTCAATGGCTAGTGAATCGATTTGTTGCGAAAGTTAATACACTTCAAGACTTCATACTAAACAAAAATGACCGAACAGAATTCTAAAAGCAAATGAAAAAATTGAACAGAAACTTTCAGTACATGAATCTTATTATAACTTAATTTCGTAAATTTACGCGATATCATTAAAATCTATCATAAAATTTACCGAGGTTCAGAATCAGAAACAAATTTTAAAGGTATTACTCCGCTTTCCTGTTTAAATAAACAGCTGTTCTGTGTACAAAACACGTCACACTTATCTCTGTTAAGAGATTCTTATCTCATTTTGTACACTTCAATTCTAATAACTTTTTTTTTTTCGAATTATTCAAGAAAACAAGTAACACTAAAATGCGTAACGTTTTCTTACTCGCTATTTATTAAATTTTTCTGATTACTTCAAATATAAAATACGTAACCGATCCCTTCATTATTCACAATAGTGTAAGCAATCATTATTAATACCTTATTAACTTTTTCGATAAATATAATTAGAATAACGTTTAGCAACTTCAAGTTAGAAACATGGCACTTCAGAACCACAATTTTGAAATTTG